TTAAAGTGATAACCATGGTAGAAAAAGAATTGAGTTAGAGTGTTAAAATACTACCATGGTTATAAAGAGTTTGATGTATTTCGAAAACATCCCAAGTGGCTTAGGATACATAAAACACCCATGGGTTTTACAACATGTAGAACGAAGCCTCATAGCACAGTAACCGCCCACAAGCCCAACATAATATTCATCCCACAAAGACTTAGGGCACAAGAAACACAGGGTGTTCAACCCAGCCCATAAGTCATACATCGCACACAGCAGAGTCTTATGGCCTGCAGCCATTTTAACAGTATTCCATCAAATACAGTCATCCAAACAAAAGAAAGTATACGTCAACACAGTCGTGGGCCCTAAGATGGCAATATACATAACATTACATGCCTAAACCAAAAGACTATTAGGCTATGCTCGCCTATGCCTCTGGTTTCTTCCCTTCACGTCGAGCCAAACTAGATGGCTCTCCTGAAAAGTATTGATGAACAGCGGGGTGAGACGTAAAGTCCCAGTAACCAAGTATTAATTTATGACATATACAAGTAGGATGGCAAGTTGGTGAAGTAGTGCTTAAATATAGTTTAAGAAATAAATGGTACTGTAATAGATATAATCACATAAAAAGAGTATATCTCTCCATCCACAACACAATTCATATAAAAGTACATATATGCAACAACACAATGAAATATGCCCTCCCATCACCTTTCTCCTCCTTATGACTCCTTGACAAGGACCCGGGCTTTCTGTGCTGAGTAACCCGGCCAAAGGTCACTCCACTCACATCAAGCAACGGGCCCCCTCCTGTACCTACACCGCCCAAGAATGGACTATGGTGCAAGAGGTGTCTACCCAAGAGTTCATTCTCAATTCCGGGCCAAGGAAAAGGAAGAACTACAGGGGTCTAACAATAAGGCCAAACACTGGGATCCGTAGTGTAGGCATGCCGCGCGGGCTTCAAGAACAATTATCCTCCACATAACAAAATCCCAACCTCCGCATATGAACCCCATGCATAGTCACAATATAAATCAAAATATCACAATCTTCAAAGTAAGATGATATAATTTCAAACAAAGTATAACACATTTTCATTCCATTTAATAACATAATATTAGTATATTAAATTCAGTACTACACGAAAACACAATTTCCAATAAAACACAACTCAAACATAATTAGATCAACATACTTCCCACTTCACCAAAATTTGTCATATAATAAAATATATTTTATTCACAGGCATACTTTTACAAATTAACTAAGAAAATAAAAACATAATAAACACCTTACAATCCAAAGCGTGTATATAAAATAAATTAACCCCGGTTACCTCTACTCCAAGCTTAACCTCACAGCTTGAGAAATAAGAGCACAAATTACAAACTCCGAAGTACAAGATAATCTACAAATAATATAGATACAATTTAATATACATACAAATAATTAACTTAAATTACGTAGAATTTATTATTAATAATATTCATACATATATTTACTATCCAAAAATTCTTACTTCAAATAACATTTTTTTTACCAATAACTCATTTAAATTATAAATATTTATAAAATATTGTTTTTATCTAATATTATAAGAATCTCAATTTATAACTTAAGTTTCCAGTTTCAAAATTTTTCTAATAATATAGTCTTAACCTATTTTACATTTTAAACCGATTAAAATATCAATAATATATTAAGTAACCCAAGTAAGTTATTTAACTTAAATTTAATCGGTAAAAACATTCTATATATCTTGAATGATACATTTTCCAACCAAAATCTTAGTTTAAAATTCTCAAAACAATCAATAAACAACTATAAACCGATTAAAATTTCAATAATATATCAAACAACCCAAATAAATTATTTAACTTAATTTTAATCGGTATAAATATGATATATATCATAAGTGACAGATTTTTCAACAAAATAAATTTGATTTTAAATACCATAGGTACTAAATTGACAAATCTAAACCGATTAAAATTTCTTAATAATAAATCTTTAAATTCCTACGGTCAAATATCTTCGAAACTCAATACTTACTCTATACCCAAATCACAAAATTTTCTCTAAACATTATAATGATACTACTAATATAAAGCTCTAAATATATAGGAAATATTCATAAGGAAAAATTTAATAGAAAGAAGTGTTTAATGTACCTATATGATCCCCAAATGCTAGCACGTCCTTGCAGAAATCTTCACTCACTCTCTTGTTCTTTGTTTTTCTTCCTGCGTCTCTCTCCCTCTCTTTCTCTATTCTACGTAACACTCCCTCCTCTATTTATCATTCTCATTTCAACCGTCCACCCCAAATTTTCTTCTCTCATTTATTATCCTTTCCCATTTTTCCTCCTCCCTCTTTAATTGCCCGCGTCAAAAATTCTTCTTTGCCTTCAATTCACCCCAGCTTTTCCACCGACTTTGGTGGAAAAGTTGGGGTGTGTGTTGTTTTTTTTTTTAAATATTAATAAAATATTATTATTTAATAATAATAAAATATTATTTTACATTATTTAATTATTATATATATATATATTTTTTAAGGATGTTACAGTTACTGCCCTGGTAATATGAGCCAGCCATAGAGCGTCATATGGCGGCCTACCACGTGGTCACAATGTCACACAATTTCCCATCAATCCTCCACCATCTTTATTTTCATAGTTATATTTCATAATCATAAAATATCATAGTAATAGCATATAGTATAGTAGTTCACAGGATCAAATCTCAAGGATCACAATATGTAGCATTACTACACAACACCTAGCATGCATCAACAACAAACAATAAAACTAATTATAAAATAGTAAGACTCGAATATGGGTCGTTTGCACAAATCATCCCATGAGGCTAGTTTTTAGATGCAGAAAAATTTTCCATGATTCCTAGCAAATCTTTTCTCAAAACAATAGAGACATGTCTCTAAAGATTCCATATTTATTAAATGACTCATAGGAGTCACTAGCAAGCAAAGTAGGTAGAAATCTACGTTACCTATTATCCTTTAGCCACAAGCAGTTAAATAGAAATTTCAACAACTAAGGCTCTCTGTGAGAGGCTGCAAAGAATCACATATATACAATAATATATATATATAAATATAGCTCAGAACTAGTAAAAGTTTATCCTAAACCTACACTAAAGTTTCTCTAAAGTTATCCTAGTGTCCTATAATTTATCCCCTCGAAACATAAATCTTCTTTTAAATTCAGATTCCTTTATAATTTAATTTGTTCGCTATAATAGTAAATTATATGAAGGTCTTGAATTCTTTTTTTTCTTTAGAAATTTCCAGACCTTCAAATTTTAGTTTATAAACTAGATTGATGTTGTATATATGTACACCTACGTACTGGGGAAAGAAACGATGACCCAACTGAAAAGGAGTAAGTTATCTCTAATCCAAAATCATAAGTTATGTATTGTTTGTATTTTATTCTATTTGTTCACATTGTGAGTTTGAAAACATAATATGGGCAAGGTAACTAAATTATCCTAAACATTCATATACATATGTAACTAGATACAAGGCCCAAAAACTCTACCAACATCAAGCCTTTTGATCATAACTCACGTCATGAGTATTTTATTTCATTCATGCGTAACTAAATTATCCACATGTATATATATAAATGGGTACAATTTAATGACAGTATGGGTACAGAGTGATGAAGACATATCCAAATATATATTAAAGATGGGAAAACTGTAGAAAGGAAGAGAGGGAGCGATGGGGAGACACACACATATATATAAGGCGTGTGTGAGCGAGAAAATAGTATATATGTTTATATACCTTTGAGAGAAAACAACGCCAGTGATTTGTTGATCACAGAAAAGACAAGAAAAGTCGGTCAAGATTGCTGTGGAAAAAGGAAAAAGAACAAGAGACAAGCGGACTGATAGTTTGGCTCAAAAAAATAGAGTACATGAGAGAAGGAATACAAAAGAAAAGGAAGGACAAAGGAGAAGGTACCTATAGAGCAATCAGGTTTGCGTTGCGGCAGCCACAAATGGGGTAGAAACTAGGTTCTTAGGTATTTGTAGAATTTATAAAATTTAAATTCCATCCCTTTATCTGATCTTAACTTGTTATTCTTACTATTATCAAAATCCTGTCAGATATAGTAAATTTTAAATCTAAACCATTCTTTCCTAAATATACATATTTAAATACTTTATCACCCTTCTATTTATCTTTCAATATTTATACATAGCTCTCTTTAATTATTTCAGACTTTTATTTTCTATTTAATTTTTACATCTAAATATATTGTTTCCCTTCTCTTTTATTTTATAATAATTTTTATATATGGCACTACCCGTACTAAGTCCCAAACAAAAATTGGGATGTTACACAATAGAGAAGAGTGGTCACAACAGATTTGGACAAATGGTGCATGGATCTGATTGCACTGGATAAGAATATGAAAATCCTTCTATGAGCGCCACCCGCCACTGTTGACTTTTCCAAATTCACAAATTGCATGTAATAACTACTTGTAGTTCTACTCATGATTCGTCATAAGGTCTAATATAATTTCTGAATATAGGTAGTATGATAATAAAATTCATCACAAAAGAAAATTCATACTGATGAAGGTTACAATAAAATCACAATCCCAATACATAATTCCAAAGCTAAAACAACTAATAGAAAAGAACCATGACGTGCAAGTCTGGATGCTATCCTTTTTTTGATTCTTGTGTTTAATTAATTCCTATCACACCACATGTCTACCTGCACAAACTATTGTATCACAGATGATATTGCACCCACTAATATATGACACGGTAGAATCACATAAACGAGGGTTATACTTGAGCTGTTGCAGATAAACCCCAAGCTGCCAAGGTCCAACTGATATGATGACAGTAAGTAACAAGACAGTTAATTCCTACAATTGATATATCATTGAGAAAGGAACACAAAAGTAATGTAAATCTTTTGTCGATAGATAACAACCGTAATTAAGAAAATATTACCTTTTAGTTGCGGGGTCGCCTACGCCATTTGGCCACAGGAAGCACTATTGCCACATAGATAGAGTCTGACACCTTGCCTACGAAATTGAAGTAGGCATACCTCCATGATCGGATAGCTAACAATGATCCAAACACTATCCAAAATCCGACAGCGAATCCCATGCCCAAGCTTTCATAGAATCCTTTCATGAAAGTCCCGTCTTCATCAGCAACTTGGATAGCTCGTGTTGCATTCCCTAATGGATGATCTTCAGAAGGACAAAGGTTGTCTAATGGCCTTCCACAAAGGAAAGGGTTACCTTCATAGCTGGAGGGCTCAAAAGATTGCAATTGTGTTCCTATTGGAATTTGTCCTGTCATGTTGTTGTTTGATAAACTCAAGGTGTTTAGGGAAGATATTTCAGCAAGACTCGAAGGAATTTCTCCATCAAAATGATTTCTCGATAGATCCAGAGCTTCTAGAGATTTTAGTTGTCCTATCTCTGAAATGATGTTTCCACTCAACCTATTTGATGATAGATTCAAGAATCTCAACTCGACCAATTTTACAATTCCTGTTGGCATTTCCCCCTCCAATTGATTGTGAGAGAGATCAATGTTAACAAGCCCATAGCGATCCTTGTACACCCGTTCTATTCCTTTCCATACCATAGGCAACTTCCAATCAAAAGATTCATGTACTAGATAATTTCCATTCTTGAAGACGATGATATTGTATTCGGAATCATTCACAACATATTTCTGAGCCATCGCAACCAGCTTCTCGAGGCAACTTGGTATTGGTCCTCTAAAATTGTTAAAAGAGAGATCCAAAACCTTGGCCTTTGGTAAATAACATAGATGTAAGGGCAGCTTTCCATCTAATTTATTCATCCGTAGACTCAGAGTTTTCAGTTCTTTTAGATTGTCACTTGTCCATGAAGGAGGTATTGGTCCTGACAAGTCATTTTTTCCCAAATCTAACATTCCCAATTCAGTTGCAATTTCAAAGGAAGGTAGTCCACCACTGAAGCAATTGTCTCGTAAAACTAACAGCTTGAGTTGACTTAAGGACCCTATAGAGTTAGGAATCCTTCCTGAGAGTTGATTATTAGATAAATCAAGAATCGTTAAAGATTTGAAATGATCCCAACAATCAGGAAGTTTCCCTAATAAATTATTATTTGAGAGATTTAAAGTTACCAAATTTTCAAAAACTGCACTCCTTCCCTTGCCACATGGTGGAAGAACAAATTTTGAAATTAGATTTTCTGAAATGTCTAAAAATTGGCTCTTTAGTAGGAACGGTGGAACAGAGCCTCTAATTTGATTGGAAGCCAATGACATGACGTAAACATTAGATTCAAGTGGCAGATCTAGAATTATGCCTGAGATTGCTTGATTCTATTTGAACCCAATATGCTCCTTTTACAAGTCTCCAAAACCATGCTGGTATAGAATCATTGATTTCAGCATGAGAAACAAATAAATATTGAAAATTATTCTGGGTACGAAGCCATCTAGGGAATCCAGGGCCCAATTTACAACAGTGTAACCATAAACATTGTAATTGAAATGGAGGAATCCAATCGGTGCTGAATTTGAGAGTCAACAAATTACGAGATAAGGACAAGTGTTTTAACTTGGTGAGATTATCAAAATGGATGTCAGTGATTGTTCCATTTAGCTCATTATCATAAAGGTAAAGAACCACTAAAGAGTTCATTTTTTTTCCAAAATCAACTGGAATGGGACCACCCAAGTGATTCTTGGCCAGAGAAAGGTATGTGAGATTGGAGCTTAGATTGAACAACCAAGGGAATAATGCTGATGTCAGCTTGTTGTCATGGAGATCAAGACTTGATAGAGATGTAGAAAAATTCAAATGGGAAGAAGAAGTTGATAGAATATTATTGTTTGTCAGGCTACAATTTGCAAGCCCTAACTCTCTCAGTTTTGGAAGCTTTCCAATAATTTGCAACAAGTTGTTAGAGTAGTTAAGATTGGAAACATGGCTTAAATCAAGTGAAGTTAACCATTGAAGATTGGAAAGCCACTCAATGGCAACCAAGCTCTTGTCATCGATTTTCAAACCATAATTGTGGCCAATTTGGAGTATCTCCAAGCTTGAAAGATTACCAAGTTGGCTAGGAATATTGCCCGCTAATTGATTCATATCTAGATAGAGCTCCTGCAGACTTGAAAGGTTTGCAAGATGGAAAGGTATGTTACCAACTAAACCATTGGAGGAAAGATCTAGAACCAACAAGTTTGAAAGCTTGCAAAGTTCAATTGGTATTTTTTCACCAAAAGAAGAATCAGATAGATCAAGGTATTGTAATTTGGTGAGAGAACCAAGAAATTTCGGGATTTGACTCCGATTGAAATCATTGAAACTGAGATTCAAATAGTGTAAGTTTTGCAAGTCCATCAATGACGGGCTAATCTCACCTCTTAAATGCTGCGAGGGCCACACACCACCATAAAGATGAAGCATCTCAACGTGGCCAGTATGAGGATCACAAAGAACACCACTCCAATGGCAACAATCTAGAGAAGAGCCCCATGAAGACAGGCGACCAAGATCATCCACAAAGGCATTCTTCATGCTAAGAAGAGCTCGTCTTTCCTTGTGCAGGCAACTAGCGCTAGCGTTGGCATCTCCCATTCTCCAACATGACCCTATCGTGAACAACTCAGCCTGCAAGTGCAGTATCATGAGTATGATGATTGGTTGCGGCAGTTTCATAAGGTTTAGATAACTCACGCTCATTATTGCAGCTCATGCAACAACGTGAAACTGAAACAAGTACAAGAGGTGAACAACTCTAAGGCCTCCTTATTTATAAAACTGGTCGCGAATGGAAATCCCAGATTGATTAATTATAAAAAATTATAGTACATTTGATAATTGGGAGACTCCCAATAAAATATGGCTGAAATATACTTATACTTTTGACAAATTCTTAATGAGACCATGAGGCATAATTTAAGATTTCTGAACGTTGTCAAATGACTAAAATGCCTTTCTTTAATTAAAAATAAAAATTAATTATTTTACTCTTCCCAAGTAATCTCTCATATCTTATGATGATTTTTTAGGAGTAAAAAATACAAGTAATTTTATAGTGTTTAAAATTTGTATGTATCACTAAAAGCTTCAAAAATATTCTAATAAAACATTTTTAATTATAACATAAATAGCCTTGAAATAATTTTTTTATTTTTTTTGTTGGTAAATATTTATTTTAAGATTTTAAAATATCTTAATTATAAGAAATATTTAATATTGTATTCTTAGAATTTCGTTAGTTTTATTTACTCAAGCGATTCCAACCCAGAAACGTTATTTATAACAACTTAATATTAAATGTTTTCGGCAAGTCGCTTTATGCTTTTGTATATAATTCCGTTATATCTATTAAACTAAGGATAATTAGATTATTTCGATAGTGCTTGTGTGTTTTTTAGAGTAATATTTTAAAAATGAATTTAATATATATTTTAATAAATTCAATATTTATTTAAAAATGATATAGAAAGTAAGAACAATATTTTATAAGCAAAAAGATCCCATTTTCAGAGCTCGCTGGAAAGTTATAAAAAAAAATGAGATTACAAAAAATGAAATAAAATTTTAAGGATTTCGATCATTTTGAGCTACGTGCTGACAGCTGTGATGAATGCATTTTATTCGTTTCATATACATTTTTATTAAATTATTAAAAAAATTAAAAAATAATTTTTTGTTCAATATATTTTACAGTAGTGAATAATCTTTGGAATTATTTCTCATAATCCCACTGATGCAGACACCCATATGTGCGTAGTGAAGGATACACTGTTTAGTCAAAAGTTCATTAATTATTCTATGAAGAGTACTTTGCCGTGGTCATCCCGCTCCATTGCGTGTCGCGTGGGGCTAGGGATTGGAATACCAAAGGACTTCAAGTAGCCAACAAAAGTCAAAGTCTTCCCCTTCGTCAAATTTTACTAATGCTTTCAAAGTGATGGAACATTACCTCTGATCTCAATTATAAAATTTTATTTAGAGATTATAAATAAGATTTTATAATTAAGTTTACAAATAAAATTTTATAATTAGAATCAGAATTAGTAACATTTATATCCTTTCTATTCATGTGATTCAAATCAAAAACTCTTATAATATATACTACTTTGTTTTTTATTATAAGATTTAATTTTTTGAATTAATTTATTTTTATTTATAAGATTCTTTTTGGGTTTATCTGAATAATAAATACATTTTTACCCATTTGAGATAAAAATTCTCTCACATGGTTATTTCATATGCTTTGAAATCACTTTTAAAATTATGGTTTGGTTTTTTATCCAAACACCTTCTTAATAACTTAATATTATTTTTTGTGGCATACTTCGGTATTTAGTGTATGGAAAAATTTACGTCTTTTAAAGACAGCATAAATTCCGTCAAATTAAATCACCATATGATTAATTTCCGCATATTGTCTTCCCAAAACCATTTACTGCATGGAGCTGCCGATCATTCTTGGTAATTTCTTAATAAAATTATATGATCCAACATTTTAAAAATGCTTCATTCTATATTTCTTAATAATTCTTTATCCACCTGTCAAAATGGACAATTTTCTGCCAAAGGGTGGTCTTGATCTAAATTTGATATTCTAACCTCATCTGGAATAAGTGTCCATATTTAGTACTTCTTCTATCCCATATTATGAGCAGCCTTGTACTAGATTACGTAAATCAAAGTGATGGTTAAAATTGGTTAAAGACAATAAATGTGTAAAAATTAAAATTTTTCTCTAAAAAATACCTTTATTTATGATGGGAGAATTATGAAAGAGAAAAAATATATAATGAAAGGAGATTGTATTAAAATAAGTATTTATTTGGGACAAAACAGAAAATTTGTTATAAAAATTTAAAACAATTGTTAAAAGTTGCTTATATTTAGGGATAAGGTAAAAATAGTTGTTGTTGTTTATAATATGGGATAGAGGGAGTACTTGATAGTGCCTTAAATATAATTGCTTTCAATGGGAAGATAAAAGTAGATAATTTTCTTTCACAATCAATTTATGATGAATGAACGTACATTGTACCCAAAAAAAAAAAGTACGTACAAATGATAATTTTCGTTTTTCGATTTTATTTATTAATTTACTAGATTATTCATAATTGCAAAGATGGGTATTATTGTATTCAAGTTATAGGAAAAAATTAATATAATTTTAAAACATTAAATTAATCTAAAACAATTATAATAAAAATTTCAAAATTGTCTCAGTATCCGAAGGTCAATTTGTCTTTTTATCATGCAGCGTCTATAACGTGTTATATACACAGACACACTGACGAACTTTCTACTTATTTGCTACTTACAAGGGAAAAACATTTTTTAACACCTTGTCAAAATGATTCTTTTTTTTTTTTTTAATTTTTGGCCTGTCGCTTTTTGCTTTTGTATATAATTCCGTTATATCTATTAAATTAAGCATAATTGGATTATTTCGATATTGCTTGTGTGTTTGTGAGAGTAATAATTTAAAAATAAATTCAATATACATTTTATTAAATTTCATATTGATTTAAAAATGATATAGAAAGTAAGAGCAATATTTTATAAGCAAAAAATCCCATTTTCCGAATTCGCCTGAAAAATTATAAAAAATGAAATAAAATTTTAAGGGTGTGATCGATTTGAGCTATGTGCTGACGGCTGAGCATCATGAATATATTTTATTCATTTCATATGCATTTTTTATTAAATTATTGAAAGATAAAAAAATAATTTGTTGCTCAATATATTTTTACAACAGTAATTTACTCTTTGGAATTATTTCTCATATTCCCACTAATGCAGACACCCATATGTGCGTAGCGAAGGGTGTATTGTTTAGTCAAAAGTTCATTAATTATTCTGTGGAGAGTTGTTTGCCGGGGTCATCCTGCTCTATTGCTCGTGGCGTGGGGCTAGCAATTTGGAATTAAGCCAAAAGACTCCAAGCAAGCAACAAAAGTCAAAGTCTTCCACTCCGTCAGATTTTACAATTACTTTCAAAGTGATGAAATATCATTTAGGGGACGTTTGGAATTAAGAAAAAGCATTTTTAAAAAATATTTTTATACAATTTGACATAAAAATTTTCTTGTATAGTTATTTCGTGTCCTATGAAATTATTTTTAAAACCATGGTTTGGTTTCTATTTAAACACCCTCTTATATCCCTTCTATTTATGTAATTCAAGTCAAATACTCCTAATATATATATATATATATATATATCAAGTAATAAATTAATATTATTTTTATGGCATACTCTAGCATATGGAAAAATTTACGTTCTTTTAAAAACAACATAAATTCAGTCAAATTAATTCACCATATAATTAATTTCCGCATATGGTCTTCCCAAAACCATTTACTGGGTGGAGCTGCCGATCATTTTTGGTAATTTCTTAATAAAATTATGTGATCCAACATTTTCAAAACGCTTCATACTGTATTTCTTAATAATTCATTATTCACCTGTCAAAATGGACAATTTTTTGCCACCGGGTAGTCTTGATCAAAATTAGATATTCAAACTTCTGCTGGAATAGGTGTTTATATCTAGTATTTGACAGTCTCTTAGATATAATTGATTTCAATAGGAAGATAAAAGTAAATAATTTTCTTTCACAATCAAATTTATTTATCTCTAAATCTTTTAATGGTGGTTATCTATTTAATCATAATTATTGCATTATATCCAATCGCTGTTATTTATTTAATCCTGGCCACTTTTAATTAACTGAAAACAACCAATAACTTTGCAACTTTTTTTCTACTGACTCTAAATTTTTAAGTCACTGAAAAAATTTTCAAACCCGCCCTAAATTGCAAGGGCCAAGAGTTGTTCAAGTTCCTTCATAATTTATTGGCGTGATGATTGATTATGTAAATCAAGTCAACAATATCCATAAACTCATATATATCACACATTAATTGCATCCACTCATATATATATATGGATTAGCAATAAAAAATAAACCTTATAGTCAATAAATAATTTAGAAAGAAGAAACAAAATGTAACTCGTCTATTTGTAAAATAAAAATGACATGCAAGCAAATGGTTTGTCCCTAATAAATGATTTTCGACTCAAGGTAAGTTGGATTGATCAATGTTGTTGTGCATGTGATGTTTGAACTTTGAGCCAACCTAGTAATTTAAAGGACAAATATAGTCATATGAAAAAGTAATATCTATTACTGCTCCTAATTATAAAATCTTTTTTGTTGTTTACAAATAAGATCTTATAAATAAGAGCAGAGGTAGTATCATTTATCTCAAAAAAAGCTACTTGTAAGCTAAGGATAAAACAATACCAGCAAAAGTAAGAGCAAAGATGGTTGGAGAAATCTGCCCGAAAAGAGAGCATCAGAAAAAAAAATTTAAGTAGAGTAAAGAAACAGACCAATACGAATTCATTACAAGAAATATTCCATAATCTAATATATCAAATATATATATAATCCTACACATTATTAATCATCCACAAAGGCATTCTTCATGCTGAGAAGAGCTCGACTATCCCTGTGCAGGCAACTAGCGTTGGCATCTCCCATTCTCCAACATGACCCTATCATGAACAACTCAGCCTGCAAGTGCAACATCATGAGTATGATGATTGGTTGTGGCGGTTTCACAAGGTTTAAATAACCCACGCTCATCATTATTGTTGCTCATGCAACAACGTGAAACTGAAACAAGTACATGATGTGA